GTTTGGGATGTATGGCTATATAACTTGTCCAATAAATAGATATCTAACTTAAAGACTGTTGATACTGAAGCAGATATTTTTTATGCCCAGTAACAGTATTGCCAGATAGATTAAAGGAAAGAATCAGAACTTAACTGTTATCTATGAATGTCTTCCATTTGGTGACAAAGTTCTATTTACTGTTTGCACATTGATGCTTCAGGAAATATTTAAACTGTGTATTTACAGGGACCATCCAGTAAACCTAGAGCATCCAGCAAACATTTAAATTGTATACTTACACAGAACACTAGCCCTGATCTATAAGCTATTTATATCCCCTGACTTTCAGTCAGCAGTAGAGCAATACTGGAACTTCAAAATGTCCTACCTGTTTTGTTCTTCCAACTTGGCTAATAGCTCCAACTCATCTGGGCTCAGGTTCTCAGAATCAGAAGTAGGGGAACATGCAGGCATAGAGTTGACAGAAGAGAGTGCTTCATGGGAAGAAGAGTCAGGGCTGACTGCTGGACTTGCCATCTCCAGCAATTTGAGAGTAACAGGAATATTCATTCAGAAAGTCCTCAGAAACAGTGATCAGGAAAGTTAAGGAATCACCTGCAAATGACAACAGAGTATTTAAAACAGCAGACTTTTTCTCCCTTCTACTTCATAATTGATGTCAACATAAGCCATTCACAAGATTGGATCGTAAACTTTCTAGTTTAAGACTCTACAGGAGAATTGCTACCACAGATCAAATAAGAAAGAAACCAAGGGTTTCCAAGAATTCCAAGATAACCAAGGGTTCTTTGTTTTTACATTTCTTTTGTGAAGAAGCATTTCTTTTCATATAAGCATTTTGATTTTCCCAATAATTCTTAGAAACATTTGGCTGCAAAAATTGTAAAATAATCAGGGGATATGAACCGCTTTTCCAAAAACAAACCAGTATAACTTGAATTAAGTCACAGCACAGAGCTCAACAAATTCTATCCTTGCCAAACACTCAGGATAGCCCATTGTATTTTTCAGCAGAATCAGTATTATGAATGAATAGTCTACAAGCCTTCTTTAAAAAGACATCCACATGGTCACTTTCTGCTTGTAGCATTAAACTAAAAAAAAAAAAATTAACAAAAAAAGTAAATACACAATTCTCTTAAAAAGTAACTAGATTAATATAATTAATTTGAATATTATACTAGACCTATTAATTTTAAAACTGAGTCATTGCTTCTGCAGATTATGCTGAGATAATGGAGACCTATACATAGAAATAAAAGAGGCATTCAATGGGAACAATTTGGAAGGTGCTGGTGTTGCTGCTTGGAACTAAGACAGTTAAAGGACCACACCATAAACATAAACTACATTTGCCTTTCACAGCTGTTTCATACTCTCCTGACTTTGGTCAGACTGAAAAAAGCTTCTTCTGCTGTGGAGTTTGATATAGAATGCTTGTACAAAGAGATCTGCCAAGCACTAATTTGTGGGACTTCTCCTGGATCGTTTCTGCCCATCCTACCAGACAGCGCAGACTAGGCATGCTCCAGGTCCCACTGGTGAAGCAGTGTCACCTGGTGAACCCCAGGAAGTGTGCCTTCTCTGTCATGGTGGCTTCCTTATGGAACAGACTTTCCATGAGATATGGACAGCCCCAATCCTGCTGGCCTTCCAGAAGGCTGTGAAGAATGGCTGTGGAGTCGGAGTCGTGGAGTTGGAGTCAGAGTCGGAAGCAATTCTTGGGTCACTGGAGTCAGAGTTGGTAAAAATGTACCAACTCTGACTCCTAATAAATTTAAATTGTATATAATATAAATAATATAATAGTTAAAATTTCCTATTTCATAGATAATAATTTAACCTATTTTTTTCAGGATATATTTTAATTTCAAGTTCTCTGCAAATTTCAAAATATAACACATTTTGGAAATACATAATTAGTATATTTATAATTTATTTCCTATATTGATATATAACTAAAGGAGTCAGAGGTACCATGAATAAAGGAGTCGGAGACGGTTTTATGTGTTGACTCCACAGCCCTGCTGTGAAGAGCTGGCTTTTCCCCCAGGCCTTGTGGCTGGGATGTTGATGGAGTTCGGGTGTCGGTGTGGTTATGTTTGATGTATCGATAGTGTGATTTTTAGGGGCCTTGACCCAGTTTCTTTTTAACAGATTTCTACAATTTGATTGAAGTTCTGTTTCTGTTCATCACCCAGAGTTCTCTGGGTAGATGGACAGCTATATAAATTTGCTAAACAAACAAACAAACAAACAAACATACTTTCAGACTTTTTGATTTGTTCATGCTTTGTCAATAATTCATTTTACTTGGTGTTCACCTTATTTGTTCTGCTGCACTTGTTGGTCATTTGGTGGCTTTTAACTATGTTTCATACACAGTGATTCTGCTTTAGGTAACTCAAAAGAGCAGCCTTACATTTTACAATGCATCAAGGTTGCATTTTGGATACCTATCTCTCTTAGTTTTAGAGAAATCCGATGCTTTGTTACACATTTCCTCAGTTGCCCTGCATCACCATGCTGATATCCAGCCACTGTCCTGTATCTGCAGGCATGCTGCTCCATCAAAAAAGTGCAAAGGAGCAGGGGGACTTGAAGATATAGAAATCGCTATAATGTGGCCTAACAGTTGGAGTGCAGTAGTTATCAAGACATGCAGACTAGGGTAACTTACTCATAGCACATAAATTTATTGAAATTTAGCATTCAGTATTATCCCTGCTCAGTCATGTAAACATTATTAAGAGGCCATCCTTCTAACACAAAGCTACAGGAGCATCCACTTCATAACCCCCACAGGTGCCATACTGGGGACTTAGCACATAAATCCCACACTTCATGACACTGGAACAACTATCAATAGTTTTGACACAAGAGATGATGAAGATTTACCATTTATCTCCATATATAAAGACCAAAATGATTTAAAGGAACATGTGGTTGTTGTGATGTGTGAAAAAAGTAAACCCATACAATAGTATTTTTGAATATTAGTTTAATATTCTGCCTTTCTTCCAAGAGTACTTGGTGCTATAAATAACACTCCCACCTCCAATAATTTTCTCTAACTATCCTGTAGAGTAGGTTCCCCAAAACTCACAGTGAACTTTCATGGCTTAAAAGTCACTTGGGGCTGGTCTCCCAGTCCTAACTTAATACCTTAGCCATTACACCACATTGGTCCTCAAGATCTGTATTTTGTTTGCTCTGATGCTAAGAGAAGCAGCAGGAAGAAAATATTTCATTGCATTTGAAGAAACATAAGATTAGTCTATGCTTAAAACATCCTCCATTTTCTTTGAATCCTGCTCACATCATAAACAGTAATCTCTCTCTAATCTTGTACTCCAGAACCATTCCATTATCTCTTGATTTTTATAAATCAGAATTTCAATACAACAGATCTATTCTAAAAGCTGTCAAAGAAAAATAGTAGCCAAGTGTTTCCTCATACAACTGATGTTATTGCATTATTTTTTTGGAGTACAAGAGCAGATAAACAGTGTTGTTGGAGAAATAGAAAAGAGATTAAACCTTGAGAGAAAGGCAATTACAAACTTAGACAAGACCTACCAGATAAAGAGATTCTAATGACAACAAAGATCAGACTATTTAGAACAATGCGTTTTTTTCAGTGTAAAGTATTGCTGTAAATGTTTGATACTGAGAAATAAGCAAGAGAAAAAAGATATCTCTGAACTATGCATTTGGAGATCATTACTAACAGTGCCATGGACTATAAGAAGAATAAACAGGTCCTTGAAGAAACAAAGACTGCTCCCTTGAGGCAATGATCAGCAAGCAGAAACTTACGTATATGGGGCATGGGATGCAAGAAGATAATGGACTAGAAAAAAATAATTACACTTGGCTAGATTGATGGAAGAAAGAAAAAGATTACAGACAAGGTAGATGGAGAGGATTTAGAGAAATAATGTCCTTGGAAGATTTACTGATTGCTGCTAGGATTTGGCTGAGATAGTAGACATTTGTCTATATTAGTGCTTCCCAAACTTTTTCCTTTATTACCCAAAATCCTAACTTCGAATGGTTGTGAATGAATGCTTGTAACTTGAGGACTACCTGTATTATAAAAACAATATCACTGAATGATCTTTATGTCATTTCAACAATTATCATTGGTAATTTCATTGATTTTTGTCTTAATAGAAATATGTTGGGAGATTTTTGAAAAATGTAGCACATGTGGAAATCTTTAAGTCAATGTAAGTGTCCCTGTTGTGACTGGGTAATGAGTTCATGTAGTCATTACCCAAAGAAAAACCACTTTTACCCAATTTTGAGTAATTTACCCAGGCTTGGGAAGCACCGGTCCAAAGAAAAACCACTTTTACCCAATTTTGAGTAATTTACCCAGGCTTGGGAAGCACCGGTCTACACAATCACCGGGGGGGGGGGGGGGCGCCATGATTCAGTAGCACCTTGTTGTTGTTCAGTCATTAAGTCGTGTCTGACTCTTCATGACCCCGTGAACCATATCGTGGCAGGCCTTCCTGTCCTTCACTGCCTCCCTGAGTTTGCTCAGTTTCATAGAGAATTACTGAAAGGCTGCTATCCCTCCCGCAGTCTCAGGGTGTCATCCAAGAGAACTGTTTCACGTGGCTGAGCACATTGGGACTGTAAAGGGAAAGTGAAATTTTATCACAACTGTGATAAATTTGTGTAACACCTCAAGGAGAAAGAATTGACTTTTAATTGAAAGCTGTAGCATTAACAATATCAAAGGAAATATCTAGAGGAGCACCAAATCAGGATTTTGGAGATCAGCTTCAGCTTCTGCAATCTAAGTAGAACAAAATGCTTGAATTGATACATTTCATAACTTATAATCTTAATGTGCAGTCTGTTTTATCTGATTATAGCTAGCAAATAGGGACTGGCAGGTGGATTCAGGAAGATGTAAATGTCTCATATCATTATACTAGGTGTTTTAAAACAGGCAGTAATTGAATCTCTTAAAAAAAAAAAACATTGTGGATCCCATAGATGAAAATTGCTGTCCAGTGACTAATATTACTTTGGAGTTCAGATTTCTGAATATTAACAATTTGAGATATTTTTGGAGGAAACAAATTCTCTAGACCCATTCCAATCTCACTGATGGCCAGATTTTGGGACTGAAAGCCTTGGTTGCTCTAAATTACCTGTCTTTGTCACATAGATAGGATCAAACATTATATGTCATCAGGAAGGGAACTTGTAATTAATCTTTAAAGCAGTATGTGTAATAGCTACTGTATATACATGTACTTCAACTTGAGGTTTCATTTGTCAACTCTTAATTCAGTGACAGAAGAGCTTCTTCAAAGTTCATAGCAAATCTCAAAGAAAAAAAGTAATACACTGGGGACACGGTGCACGAACACAGCGGATGTTAAGATACCATTTCCAAGAGTATAAAGAAACAAAAAAGGAGTACAAAACGCTTGGCACTACATAGATGTAGATAAAACTGTTCACTAAGGTCTGGGGGAAAAACTAAAAATGTAAAAGATACACATGACACTAGAGTAATGTTTATTGATTTGTTATTTTTGATGTTTATTAGTTTACACTGTACCTTGT